AGGGAGAGAGAGAGAATATCAAGCAGGCTCTGTGCTGTCAGCATAGAGACCCACGTAGGGCTCAATCTCATGAACCATGAGATCATGACCTGAGCCAAAATCAAGAGTCAGTCACTTAACCAACTGAGCCATCCAGGCGCCCCACAAGTTTCAAATTTTTAATTTTAATTTTGGTTTCAATTTTCTTCTTGATAAATAATAAAAAACAATATATTTTTTTCTCTAACAAATCAATGGCAAGAAAAAAAGAGGCAGAATATTTTACAGAATAAAAAAGACTTAGGAGATATAATAACCAAATGCCACCTGAAATTTGGATTCTGATTCCAATAAACTTCTGGTAGAAAGATGTTTTGAGACAGTGGGGAAAAGTGGACCAGGTATATTACAAAATTATTGTTTATTATGTTGGGGTGATAATGGCATGGTATTTATGTTTAAGACCTCAGAGATACATGCTGAATTATTTTGGGTGAAATGTCATGATACCTGAAATTTGTTATTACATGCTCTAGCATAACCCCTTTCCCACCAAACAAAAAACCAACAAGACAAAACAAAAAACCCAGGGTGTGAGCAGGAGGATAAAATAAGAATGGGAAATATAAAATACTGATAATAGTTGGAGCTAGACAATGGCTATCCCTGGGGTTCATTATTGTACTCTCTCCTTTTGGGTATAAATAAAAAGAGCCACAATAAAAAAATTGTATGCAGTGCTGTTTAGAATTTAATTGTAAGAAAATTATTTTATTAAACATTCTTTCTTTTTTTTAATTTGAGAGTGAGAGAGAGAGAGAGTGTGAGTGAGAGAGAGAGCACACATGTGAGTGGAGAAGAGGGCAGAGGGAGAGAGAGAGAGAATCCCAAGCAGGCTCCACACTCAGCAAGGAGCCTGATGTAGGGCTTGATCCTACAACTCTGGGATCACAACCTGAGTCAAAATCAAGAGTTGGACACTGAACCAACTGAGCCACCTATGTGCCCCTACTGAACATTCTTAATATGCCTGATGGCTACATCATATTCCTATCAGAAACACTGAATCACTATTGCTAACAGATCTTTTTTTTTTTAATGTCTATTTATTTTTGAGAGACAGAGACAGAGTGTGAGTGGGGGAGGGGCGGAGGGAGAGGGAGACACAGAATCTGAAGCAGGCTCCAGGCTCCGAGCTGTCAGCACAGAGCCCGATGCGGGGCTTGAACTTACAGACTGCGAGATCATGACCTGAGCTGAAGTCAGATGCTTAACCGACTGAGCCACTCAGGCACCCCTGCAAATGATTTTTAATTGGTGGGAGAGAAAAAATGCAACAGGGGTTTATTTTGTGCCCCCCACCCCCGCCCCAGAGAATTACTGCTTTTGCAGACAGTCCACAGGATGGGGTGAGGGGTATAAAGAGCCAACCAGGCCAGCAGTTGTCCCTGACACATTGGCTATAATCATGCCCATAGTGTACAGGATGCTTTTGGGCAACCAACTTGAGCAATGGAAACCTGAGTAAGGTAGAAGGGCCGACAGCAGCCCCTAGTTGAATACAACAGGCCAACAGGTGACCCTCCTCAAAATATCCTAAGCCCTAGGCAAAAACAATGGGTTACTTACACCCGGACCCTGGACACAGGTACCAAAAAAGGAAAATTCTATACATTTCCCTATACCCCTCACCACTGCCTCATGGCAGCCAGTCTCTCCTTTGTTGTCCTGTCTGCTGGTCCCTTGCAGTGTTTTCAATAAACTTCTATCTCTTTGTTCTGCCTCAGGTGAATTCTTGCAGGCCTCTACCACATCGGGTCTCCCCACACATAGATCATATGTAACTTTAGGGAGCTATTGTTTTTGGATGGCTCCCTTCCTTTATTCATGAAGGTATCTTGGAGAAAGAGACAAAAGGGGAAAATAAACCTAGGAGGCTGTAAATGAAAGCGTGTGAACAAACTTATGGACACTGTGAGGCTGCGCTGTATTGTGCTGAGGGCCTGGCTTGATCTGGTGTAGGCTTTGTAACTGACTCATGGAGAATCACTTAATTCCTCTGGATTTCAGGAGAAGAGGGATGGATGACCCCCACGATCTCTTCCAGCAATGACAGTTAAGTTTATGACACCAAAAAGAAAAACAGACTTTGACAGGAGCATGTAGCTAGGGAAAAACAAGAAATATGAAGCTTGCCTCAGTATGGGAAACCAAGAAGGACAAAGGTAAGGCAAAGAAAAAAAGAGGCCAACATGACCACTTGCATCCCTATAAAATGACCCCAAGATTGGCAAAACTTTAGAGATGTTTCCAAAGTTGAGTCTAGATTAGTATCAAGTAGAAGCCTTACCTTCTGGTGACAGCAAAGCACAGCATGCACATTCCATGCAAGAGTCCTGCAGCATGCTGCAGAAAGGTGGCCGTCTTGGGATTCTCATCCACTGGGCCTTGCACAGAGAGGAAGCAGCCATGAAGCTTGTTGATCAGGCCTATGTTCACCACGTAGCTAGATGTGGGGAGAAACATATGTGTTATCAGTCTGCACAGGCTGGCAATATCGTCACCTTCAAAGATAAATCTTAACAAACATAGGCTTAGACCCCTCAAACAAGCAAACAATAGGTTTGGGTAAAGCATCTCAAGTAACAATTTCCTTAGATTTAGTCCTGAATAATCAGCTATTTCTGTAAGTGATTTGCTTCCTTCTTTTGGTCATTCTGATGCTATTTTTTTCAAGAAAGATGAATGAAAATGATCATCTGATCATTTTTAGTGGTCTAAAGAGTCTGTCAATATTTGAAATGATTTATAATTATCTCTACACTCTTGAAAAGCAATACTTCTTAAAGTACCAGAGAGCCAAATTCCCTAGAATGTAGAGATTTAGAAAATAAGATGATGCTACTCAGATACTCTTGTTTCAACCTAAATTTCTAATGTAACTGTAGATTCTCTGTTTTCCAAAATCCTGTCATCATTAAGAGTATAATAATGAGAATCTAATTGCTCTCTGTTATGAAAAGCACCAGTCTTGACAGTTGACAATAACATTTAAGAAGTCACTTTCATCTTTTCATCCCATTAAACAGCTTTCCAGAACTGTTTATTAAACTGGACCAAAAATAGTGGTTCTTTTATTAGTCTGCAAAGCAACTATCATTGAAAATAGTATTTTAAGACTATAAATTACCTGTAGATAAATCAGCTTTAGCTTAGAGATTTTATACTACTTCAGTGCTACTGTATTTACATGTATGAAAAGGGCAGGACTTTGTATGTAGTAGTTCTGAAAATCAACACATGTTAATTTTGGGAAGGGCCAACATGGTGAAGTAGGGGAATCCAAAGTTCCCTTGTCTCACAAACAAAGCAGTGTTGAAGCTCAAGGACTTTGAACTCGAGAGTCCGGGAGGCAGTTGCTTCCAGGGACTCACCGGGACAACCTGACGGGCCATAGGTGCGTGATTGCAAACTGGGAGAGACAACGAATGGTGGGGAGGTATCCCCTTCTGCAGAGAGACAAAAGGAAGAGAAAGAGAGGCTGGGGAAGCATAGGACTATATCTGGACAAGAGAAAAACCACGGACCAGGCCGGAGAAAGATCCAATCTTTAAATGAAGGGCTTTCTCTGCGACTGGGTCCCGGCTGCCCAGATGGCGCACCTGGGAAGGAGGGGAGCCAGCCCCGGGCTTCGTGGTTAGGACAGGGGTGTAGTCCACAGTTGGAGAAAGTGATCCCCTCCTTGGTGTGCTGCGGGATAGGACAAAGCTTGCCCACGTCCACCAGCTAGGGACTATATATCGGGCGGTGTGCAGCTGTACTCCCCCAGTACCACGGAGCACAGAGCAGGAGTTTGAATCGCAATCAAGAGCCAGGGCACGGAAGTCGGCAGAGTGGGACAAACTGCCTCATTTGCGCCTGCGGCACAGTGAGGATGGCTTGAACAGAGTGGTTTGGGACACCTGGTCTGTGGAGGAGAGACTGGCATGTTGCCATTTTTCTCCCCACCACCAACAAGGTGGGGCTTCAGGCATCGGACAGCAGAACCCACACTGGAGGCTGGACCTGCCTACTCCAAACCACCCCTTCTGCACCTGGTAACTGCATATCTACTGGAGCGGAGTAGTAGCTGAGGAATTAGACAGCCCCTCTATGAGACCAGCACTGCTGCATTGCCTGGTTTAATTCTCCGACAATTCTTATTATATAGATACATTCTTCCTTCCTTTTCTCCTTCTTATCTCTTCCCTCCTCCAGTCCGGTTACTCTGGTTGTTGGTTTGTCTAAGCAGACATATTTAATCCATTCTCTTGATACATGTTCCACACCTCCTTCTTCATTCTCCTTTCTCTCTCTCTGGATTAAGCCAAATAGTTTCTCTGTCTGGCCAATGTTATTTTCTTTTCTTTTTTCCTGCCTCCTTTATTTTCCTTTCTCTCCCTCTGGATTAAGCTGTATAGTTTCTCTGTCTGGGCAATTTTTATTTTTTCTTTTTCCTCACCCCTGTCATTTCTCTCTTTGTATGGGATAAGGCCTCTTCCATCAGCACCACTCCCCCCTGTTGCTTACTTGTAGCTGGTGTTTCTGACTTTTTGTTTTGGGGTATTTTTTGTTTGTTTGTGTGTTTGTGTATTTTTGTTTTCTGTTTGTTTTTTGTTTTCCTCTCCAGGGCCACATCAATGAACAAATCAAAACACACCTAGTGGAGGGTTTGAAATATCAGTATGAGTAGGGAGATAAAGTAATCAAAGTCACAACAACAGAGAGCAAGTAATGCACTCCAAAAAACACCTCCTAAAGGGCCAGGCCCTGGACAGTGTATGACCCCTCTTTAATATAGTAGTGCTCAAAGGTGAAGGGCAGATAACACGCTTTGAAAACACATAAGGGACAGAAAACTAGCCAAAATGACGAAATGGAAGAATTCTTCTCAAAAGAAATTCCAGGAAGAAATGACAGCTAAAGAACTGCTCAAAACAGATATAAACAATATAACTGAACAAGAATTTAGGATAATAGTCATAAGATTAATCGCTGGGCTTGAAAAAAGCATAGAAGACAGCAGAGAATCTATTGCTACAGAGATCAAGGAACTAAAAAATAGGCATGATCAATTAAAAAATGCTGTAAATGAGGTGCAAAATAAACTAGAGGTACTGACAGCAAGAAGTGAAGAGACAGAGGGGAGAATAGGTGAAATAGAAGATAAAATTATAGAAAAAGATGAAGCTGAGAAAAAGAGATAAAAAAAAAATTCTGGATCACAATGGGAGAATCAGAGAACTGAGTGATTCAATGAAACGGAACAATATCTGTATCACAGGAGTTCCAGAAGAAGAAGACAGAGAGAAAGGGGCTGACAGTGTGCTTGAACAAATTATACCTGAAAACTTCTTCAATCTGGGGAAGGAAACATGCATTGGAATCCAGGAGGCACAGAGAACTCCCTTCAGACATAACTTAAACTGATCTTCTGCATGACGTATCATAGTGAAACTGGCAAAATACAAGGATAAAGAAAGAATTCTGAAAGCAGCTTGGGATAAACAGGCCTTAACCTACAAGGATAGACACATAAGGGTAGTAGCAGACCTATCTACTGGAACTTGGCAGGCCAGAAAGGAGTGGCAGGAAATTTTCAATGTGATGAATAGGAAAAACATGCAGCCAAGAATCCTTTATCCAGCAAGCCTGTCATTCAGAACAGAAGGAGAGATAAAGGTTTTCCCAAACAAAAACTGAAGAAATTCATCACCACTAAACCAGACATAAAACAGATCCTAAGGGGAACTCTGTGAGTGTAGCAAAGACCACAAAGGACCAGAGACACCACTATAAGCATGAAATCTACAGATAAGACAGTGACTCTAAGCCCATATCTTTCAATAATAACACTGAATATAAACAGACTAAATGCTCCAACCAAAGGAAATAGGGTATCAGAATGGATAAACAAACAAAAAAACACAAGACCCATCTATTTGCTGTCTACAAGAGATCAATTTTAGACCTGAGGACACCTTCAGATTGTAAATGAGGGGATGGAGAACCATCTATCCTGCTACTGGAAGTCAAAAGAAAGCTGAAGGAGCCATACTTATATCAGACAAACTAGATTTTAAACTCAAGACTGTAACAAGAGATGAAGAAGGGCATTATATAATAATTATGCAGTCTATCCATCAAGAAGAGCTAACGATTATAAATGTTTATGTACCGAATTTGGAGACACCCAAATATATAAAACAACTAATCGCAAACATAAGCAATCTTATTGGTAAGAATGTGGTATTTGCAGGGGACTTTAATACTCCACTTACAACAATAGATCATCTAGACACAAAATCAATAAAGAAACAATGGCCCTGAATGATACAATGGACCAGATGGACTTGACAGATGTATTTAGAACTTTTCTTCCTAAAGCAGCAGAATATATATTCTTTTCGAGTGCACATGGAACACTCTCCGAGATAGATCACTTACTGGGTCACAAAACAGCCCTCAATAAATACAAAAGAATTGAGATCATTACCATGCACACTTTCATATCACAATGCTATGAAACTTGAAATCAACCACAGGAAAAAGTTTGGAAAACCTCCAAATGCATGGAGGTTAAAGAATACCTTACTAAAGAATTAATGGGTCAACCAGGCAATTAGAGAAGAAATTAAAAAATATATGGAAACAAATGAAAATGAAAACACAACAATCCAAACCCTTTGGGATGCAGCAAAGGCAGTCCTGAGAGGAAAATACATTGCAATCTAGGCCTATCTCAAGAAACAAGAAAAATCCCAAATACAAAATCTAACAGCACACCTAAAGGAAATAGAAGCAGAACAGCAAAGACACCCCAAAACCAGCAGAATAAGAGATACAATAAAGATCAGAGCAGAAATCAACAATATAGAATCCAAAAAAACAGTAGAACAGATCAATGAAACAAAGAGTTGGTTTTTTGAAAAAATAAATAAAATTGATAACCCCCTAACCAGACTTCTCAAAATGAAAAGAGGACCTAAATAGATAAAATCATGAATGAAAATGGATTTATCACAACCAATCCCCCAGAAATATAAGCAATTATCAGATAATACTATGAAAAATTATATGCCAACAAAACTGGACAACCTGGAAAAAATGAACAAATTCCTAGACACCCACACATGACCCAAACTCAAATGGGAAGAAATAGAAAATTTGAACAGACCCATAACTAGTGAGGAAATTAAATCAGTTATCAAAAATCTCCCAACAAATAAGAGTCCAGGATCAGATGGCTTCCCTGGGGAATTCTACCAGACATTGAAAGCAGAGATAATACCCATCCTTCTCAAGCTGTTCCAAAAAATAGAAAGGGAAGGAAAACTTCCAGACTCATTCTATGAAGCCAGCATTACTTTGATAGCCAAACCAGACAGAGACTAGGCAAAAGAAGAGAACTACAGGCCAAAATCCCAGATGAATATGGATGCAAAAATTCTCAACAAGAGACTAGCA